ACCTGTCTTGCAAGAAATACTAAATTCTTCAGAAAGAAAGAAAATTACACAGGTCAGAAACTCAGATCTCCATAAAGAAAGGAGAGTGTCAGAATAAATGAATACATATAAATAAATATATAAAGGAATAAATGAAGATGAAATCTTTAATTTTTCTTACTCTTAATTGATCTAACAGATAACGGTTTGTTCAAAATGATAACAGCAATAAAGTATTTGGTGATTACAGCTTATGCATAAGTGAAATGAATGACAGCATTGTTATAAGGAATGGGAGGGAGTAATTGGGAAGACTCTGTTATAAGGTACTGGCACCACCCACAAAGTGGTAATAGCGTTACTTGAATGGAGGACTTTGGATTAGTTGTAAATGTATACTGCAAACTCAAGGGCAACCACTAAAAAAAAGTTTTAAAAAGTATAATGATACGCTAAGAATACTGTGCTAAGTGAAATAAGCCAGACATAAAATGACAAATATTGCATGATTCTCCTTATGGGAAATAGGCAAATTCATAGAGACAGAAAGTATAATAAAGGTCACTAGGAGTTGAGGGAGGAGAGAATGGGGAATTATTGTTTAACAGATACAGTGTTTCTGTTTGAGATGATGAAAAAGTTCCAGAAATGAAGAGTGGTAGTGGTTATACAACATTGAGGAAGTACCTAATTTAAAATAATTTTTTTTAATTTAGTGGTTGCTGAAGGGTTTTCAATATGCATCTTTAATTAATTGCAATCTACTTACAAATAATATATCACTTCACATGTGGTATAAAGATCTTACAACCATGTATTCCCAAGTCCTCCCTCCTATCCTTTGTGCTACTATAGTTACATATGCTATAAACATACAATATTTTGCTATCATTTTTGTTTCAAACAGTTATCTCCTAGAGATATTAAAAATAAGAAAAACATGAACTTTTTATTTACTTACATTTAGGCCATTTCCATTGTTATGAATTTTTTTGTGTAGAGCCAAGTTTCTGTCTTATATCAAATTCCTTCTGCCCTAACAACTCCCTGCAATTTTTTTTTTTTTATGGAACAAAATCTCTCAAATTTTGTTTTCCTGATAAGGTCTATATTTCTCCTTCACTTTTGGAAGAAATTTCTGCTAAGTATAGAATTCTGGGTTGACAGGTTTATTTCTTTCAACACTTTATTTATTTATTTATTTTTAATTTATTTATTTTGTGAGGAGATCAGCCCTGTGCTAACATCTGCCAATCCTCCTCTTTTTTTTGCCGAGGACAACTGGCCCTGGGCTAACATCCGGGTCCATCTTCCTCCACTTTATATGGGACACCGCCACAGCATGGTTCGCCAAGCAGTGCATCCGTGCGCTCCCGAGATCCGAACCGGTGAACCGCAGGCTGCGGCAGCGGAGCGCGCGCACTTAACCGCTTCCGCCACCGGGCCGGCCCCTCTTTCAACACTTTAAAGATCTTACTCCAGTGTCTTCTGATTTGGATAGTTTCTGAAAAGAATTTTACTATAATTCTTATCTTTGTTCCTCTGTATGCAATGTGTCTTTTCTTCCTTGGCTGCCTTCAAGATTTTTCTCTCTTAGGTTTTCAGTAGATTGAATATGATGTGTCTGGATGGGTTCTGTTTGTTGTTTGTTATTTACCCTGTTTCACGTTCCCTGAGCCTCTTGGATCTGTGGTGTGTTATCTTCCTTTCCTTTGGAAAATTGGCTGCCAATATCTCTTTAAATATCTCTTCCTCCCTTTCTCTCCTTTCTCCTTCTGAGATTCCAATTACATATACATTAGACTTTTTTATATTGTCCACAGCTGTTTGGTGTTCTGGTCTGGTTTTTTTCCACTCTTTTTTTCTCTTTGCGTTTCAGTCTGGGCAATTTCTATTGACTTATCTATCTTCAAGTATACTGATTCTTTCTTCATCTGTGTCATCTACTGATAAGCCTGTCAAAGGCATTCATCGTCTCTGTTACCATGTTTTTCATTTCTATTATTTCCATTTGACTCTTTCTAAGAGTTTCCATCTCTGCTGAAATTACTTTTCTGTTCATGCATGTTATTCACCTATTCTACTAGAGCCTTTAACATATTAATCATAGTTATTTAAAATTCTCTGATAGCTCCAACATCTGGGTCATATGAGTCGGGTTCTGTTGATTGCTTTCTCTCTTGACAGTTTGCTGTTTTTATCTTGCTTCTTTATGTGTCCCATAATTTTTGGTTGAAAGTTGGACATCCTATGTAGAACAATCGACACTGAGGCAAACAGTATTTATGCCTAGAAATGAGCATGTTTCTCCTTATGTCTTAAGTTCAAGGGAGAACATTAAGTCAATCTAGTTAGGAGTGGAGCTGGGTTTGGTTTTTGTTGTTGCTATGATTATTCACAGTGCACCACAGGCTTCAAATTTCACTACCATTTTTCTGGTTGTTAGGATATAGGTTCATTGCCAGGGAGTTTTTTCCCTCAATCTTTGTTGCTCCACCCTCCAAGTTAGGTCTTCTCTTTGTGACTGAACCTCAGAGACCGTCTATCTCCACACTCTTGCCTCTCGCCCACAAATAGACCTCTGTTACCCACAATTTTCTAACTTGGTAGTGGGAGACAAGCAGGAAGGGGCATCCTCTGAGAATCAGCCTCAGTCTTAGTCAGGCTCTGTGTCCCTCGGGGTGGGAACTTCTCAGTGATCCTACCCCTCCCCCAACTGTAGGGGACCTCTAATGCTCTACCATGTATTCCTTATCCCTCTCCCAGGGACAGAGGGATTTTATTTCTTCTGTTCTAACCCCAGGCTGCAATGGGTCTTCACCTGTGCCCTGGGGTCAGTAGGGTTTGCATCCCTTCCCCTAGCAGCTTGAAGCTTTTGTTCTAGAAGACCCAAGTAAAGCCCAGTACCTTTGCCATAGTGAGTGCTGATCTCTCCACCAGACATGCAGGATGAGGAAGGCTTTTTCAGTATCTTAGGCCCTTCCTCCTTGCAAATGTGACTTCTCTCTAATTCCTTCTTCAGTCCTGTCTTCCCTTCTTCCTTTATTCCAAACTGGGTCCTAAAAAACTCTTGCCAGTGGCTTGCACATCCATCTCCATTGTTCTAGAGATCTGAGTTCTACCAGCTTTGCCCATGATCTGCTAGGCACAGGGATCCCTTCTCAACAACTTCCTACACCCATGCTTGATTTTCACTATATTTGGTAGCCCTTCACCATATACTGATTCAGGTTTACAAATACTTCCTATGTTTGACAATGAGAGAGTATGCATTTCTTTTTCATTCTCTTTGTTGTTTTGTCATTCAAAGAGGAGAAGGTAGAATCTTGTTTCTTTAAAGTGACATTTAGACCAAAATTTTGGTCAGGGAATTTGTCCTCCATTTGCATTTTAGCATCAATAAGCTTGTGTAAATACATATCAGAACAGCAATAATGTTAAAAACAAGAATGCAAAGGTATTACATAATCACTAACAGGCTTTCCATGTTAAAAAAAATATTGAAAACAACTACAAAGGATTAACCAATGCAACAGAGAATGAAATCCTAACCGAAAATAAACAATTCTCAACACTTAAACTTATGTGAGGTATAAATGACCTAAAAATACTTAAAAAGGACAACTATTGTCACTGAGTTTTTACATGAGGACAAATTAAAATAGCAGGACTCTTTAGCTTATAAAGACACCTAAAAGAATACGGTCCAACTTCACAAAATCATAGGCAAAATCATAGAGTGAGTGTTAGTGTCTTCACAAATCCTAGAACAAAGGAATTATGCCCTGCTGAATATTGCTATGGACTGAACTGTGTTCCCCCAAAATTCATATGTTCAAACCCTAACTCCTAAAGTGACTGTATTTGGAGACAGGAGGTGTTAAAGGTTAAATGAGGTCATAATGGTGGAGCCCTGATCCAATAGGACTACTGCCCTTATAAGAAGAAATAGTAGAGGGGCTGGCCTGATGGGGTAGTGGTTAAGTTTGCATGCTCTGCTTCGGTGGCCCGGGGTTCACAGGTTCGGATCCCAGGCATGGACCTACACACTGCTCATCAAGCCATGCTGTGGCAGCATCCCACATACAAAATAGAGGAAGACTGGCACAGACGTTAGCTCAGGGCCAATCTTCCTCACCAAAAAAAAAAAAAAAAGAAGAAGAAGAAGAAGAAGAAATAGCAAAGAGCCTGCTCTCTCACTCTCCGCCATATGAGGACATAGCAAGAAGGCGGCCATCTACAAACCAGGAAGAGAGCCCTCACCAGAAACCAAGCATGCTGGCACCCTGATCTCAGACTTTCAGTCTCCAGAACTGTAAGAAAATAAACTTCTGTTGTTTAAGCCATCCAGTCTATGGTATTTTGTTATTGCAGCCTTTGCAGACTAAGATAAAAATGAAATAAGAAATTACGGATTCCAAAACTACTTATGTTTTAAGAGGAAGTTTGGGGTGAACAGGTTAAAAAACTAAATATAGGTCTAAATGTAAACTAATAAAATTTGGAGTATTTTCTTACATTCTAAAGGCATTACATAGGGCAAATACATTCTCCATTTATAAAGCATTAAACTGGGCTGTTAGGGCAGAAAATTATGCTGCATATGCCACTAATATGACCCACTGTATGATATTACATGTATTTCTGCTCAATGTGAGAGAAAGCAAATAATGTTATTGAAATTACTTTCAATGAGCAAACCAACAGTCATAGAACGCTATAAAGTACAAGAAAATAAACCATTTTCTTCAATTTATGAGCAAGTTTTTTGACAAAAATAGAGGAATATTCATGACAGTCAAAAAGACAAGACTGCATTAAGTGGCAGAAAATACAAAAAAACCAAAAAGGATTTTAGACTATGTCAAGTTTTCTTAATGAGGGTAGCAGGAGGAGGGAAAAAGAAAAAGCACTCAAATTCTTTCAAGTGACCCAACATAAAATAACTCTAAACTCTCTAACGATGGTACACTGAATCAAAGGAAAGAGATATATCAGTAAAGCAAATAGTTACCACTTACATGTTTAAAAGACCCATAGGGAACTGCTATGGACCCTGTCTCTTCTAGATAATCTTCCCAGCTTAATTCCACTTCTTCCACACCAGATCCAGCATCTGGAATTCAAAACAAAACAAAAATAGGTGATCTCCAATTAAAGAAAACTCAAGGTATAAACTGAGTAAACCCAACTTACAACTTACTTCACAAAAGTTAATTGATTTTACACACAAAATAATTGTGTTCTTTTTAAATGGCAGGTTCTCCTGGTGCATCAATTGTCAATGAATCTCAACAGCACAGAAGTGTGACATGCTGTCTCCTGCGGGGATCCATCTGGGATTCACCCAAATGGACCACATAAAGCTGGTGAGAGTGTTAACTATTACAATCACTATGGACTGTAATTTAGTATCTAATGCCAAATATTTGAGATACTTAATAGGCATTTCAAACTTAAATTTCCAATCTGATTCTTCCTTAGTATTCTCCAACTGAGTAAAAGATACCACTAGTTGATATTTTGGCTCAATCAAAAAAATGTGGAGTTATCTTTGCTTTCCTCACTTTCTTTCACATCCTATATCCAATCATCATAAAATTTTATAAGTACTACCTTTAAAACATATCCCAAATCTAATCACTTCCTACCATTTCTATTGCTATCTCTCTAGTCCAAGGTCTAACTACAATATCTTTCACCTTTTAATCACGCTTACAATAAAATCTAAACTCTTTGGGAGACTGCAAGGGCCCTATATGATCTGAACCTTGGCTACCTACGCTGCTACTTCATCCCCAACCAGCCTCTTGTTTGCTCACTGCACTCAAGTGACACTGAGTTTCTTGCCATTCTTCTCTAATAATCATATTCTTTCCTCAAAGCCTCTGCATTTGCTATTTACTCATCTCCAAGGCTCATTCCCCAGTGTCATTCACAGCTTCATTTCATTCAAGCCTCTACTCAAACGCCTCTCCAGAAAGGCCTTCCATCAGCACCCATCTAAAGTAGAAACCCCTAGCCTCTGCTTTTCCTTACCTTCATGGCATTCATTCCTACTTGACAATATACCATACGTCTTTTTATTTTCCCCAGTGGATAATAAACTCTATGAAGACGAGAACTTGGTTTTGATCACTCCAATGTCTCTGTCACAGCAGAGACCCAATAAATTTTTGTTGAGTGAGCAAAGATTCAAACACTCCATTGGAATTCAATAATCCCAGTTCACACAAGCTCCCTAAGAGCAGAGTTGGGTTCACTGATGTATCCCCACTGCCTGAAACAATGCCTGGCACTAGCAAGTTCGCAATAAACAGTTGCTGAATGAGTACACCCTCAGGGAGCCCATGCTTCACAGAAACACAAGGAGGCAAATACAAGGATGCTCACCACAGCACTGTTTGTAATAGCAACAGACAGACCCAGTTGGAGATTAGATAAATTATGGCAATCCTATAATGTAGTATACTACTACATAGTAGTTGAAACGAATGAACTAGTATTGACATAATTAAATCTCAAAAAAAAAAACCCATGTCAAGTGAAAAAGGCAGGTGCAGAATTAAAAGCACAGCAAGATACAATTTAGGCTTCAAAACAAAACTTTACAGTATAATGTTTATAAATACATGCATATTAACAAAAGTATGAAGACAAGCATGGGAAGAATATACATCAACTTCAACAGCGCTACCTTTGGGGATGGAGAGAAGAAAACAGGATTAGAAGGGAAGTACAAAAGAGGCTTAAACTGTGTCAAGTTTTATCTCTTTTAAAGATTTTTTTTTTTATTTATTCAGTTTTTTCCCCCCAAAGCCCCAGTAGATAGTTGTATGTCATAGGTTCACATCCTTCTAGTTGCTGTACGTGGGACTCGGCCTCACGTTGGACGGAGAAGTGGTGCCTCGGGGTGCTCCCGGGATCCGAACCCGGGCCGCCAGCATCAGAGCGCGCGCACTTAACCGCTAAGCCACGGAGCCGGCCCTTTATCTCTTTTAAAAGAATGGAAACGACACATGAAAACATGTTCAACATGATTAGGGAAAGGCAAATCAAAACCACAATGAGATACCACCTCACACTCACTAGGATGGCTATTATCTAAAAAGCAGAAAATAAGTGTTGACAAGGATGTGAGAAATTAGAATCTTTGTGCACTGCTGATCTGGGAATGTAAAATGGTACAGCTGTGGAAAATGGTACACTGTGGAAAACTATATGGTGGTTCCTCAAAAAATTAAAAATACAATTACCATATGATCCAGCAATTCCACTTCTGGGTACATACCCAAAAGAATTGAAGGCAGGGACTCAAACAGATATTTGTACATGAATGTTCATAGAAGCAATATTCACAATAGCCAAAAGGTGGAAGTAACCCAAGTGTCCAATGAGAGATGAATGGATAATCAAAATGTGGTATATACATACAATGGAATATCATTCAACCTTAAAAAGGAAGGAACTTCTGACACATGTTACAACATGGATGAACCTTGAGGACACTATGCTAAGTCAAATAAGCCAGTTATGAAAGGTCAAATACTATATGATACTACTTACATGAGGTAGGTAGAGTAGTCAAATTCATAGAGACAAAAAGAATAATGGTGGTTTCCAAGGACTGGGGAGAAGGGGAATGGGGAGTTAGTGTTTAATGAGTATGGAATCCCAGTTTGGGAAGATGAAAAAGTTCTGGAGATGGACTGTGATGATGATTGCACAATAATGTGAATGTACTTAATGCCATCGAACAGTACACTTAAAATTGGTTAAAATGGTGAACTTTATATTAGGGATATTTTATCACAATTTTAAAAATGGAAACAAATTTTGGACAATGTTAACATTTATCAATTGTTCACAGTAGGTATATGGGTGCTTGTTATATTGTCTTCCATTTGTTTTGATGTATTTGAAATTTTTCATTAGAAATACAACAAGCCAACAAAGACTACATTGGGAGCATCCTAGAAGTATGGGCCAGTAGAAAGTCAATTTCCATTACTAAAACATAACAAAGCTAGACATTCATGTTTCTTAGCAAGGACCCTAGTTCCCCAAACAGCATGCTAATTTAAAAATAAAAAACAAACAACAACAATAAAAACAAAGTCTCTCATACATTAAAAACCACTAAGAAACCGAGAAGAAACAAGACTAATGACCTGACAGAAAAAATTAGCAAAATATATGAAAAGAGAATCTATCAAAGAGAAATGCAATTGGTCCTTAAACATATGGAAAGATGTGCAAATTTACTCATTTTAAGAGCAATGAAAATTAAAACTACACTGAAATATCAGATTGGAAAACATTCCAGAGTTTGACAACATACTCCATGGTGAGGCTATAGTCAAGCAGGTAAAGCATAATGACACAACCCCAGTGAAAGAGAACTTGGCAATACATGTATTTATTTACCTTTTGATCCAGCAATCTCAATTCTAGGAATCTATCCCAAAGATATGCTGGCAAAAATACAAAAAGACATATGTACAAAGCTATTCATTGCAACACTATTTGTAATACCAAGACTGGAAATAACCCAAATGTCCATCAGTAAGGAAGTGGCTGAATAAAATACAGTATATACATCCAGTACTATAATGCTGTATGAGGGAATGAGAATGATTTTCACATACTGATGTGGAATAATCTCTAGTACATATTAAGTGAAACAGCAAACTACAGAGCAGTTTTTATTGTATTTCTACTTTTTGTATAAGTTAAGAAAGATATGAACATGAATATATATGTATATACTTATACATATTTTTTATGTTTTTTAAATGAATAAAAGAATAAAAAGTAATAAAACTAGTTATGTATATGGAGAAGAATAAAAAGGATGAATACTATCAGGTTGCAAGTGGGAATGCTGTTATATAATTTTGACTTTGTAACTATGTAGATACTTTACACAGTTTAGAAACATATTTAAATCAAAAGAAAAAATTCTAAAAATTGAAAATGAACTGAAACAAATATACCTAAACTGTTGGTGGCAAAACCACAAAGAGAACAAGCTTCCTTTAAGTCATATTAACGTACAATATTTGACTGCAAATCCCAGTGGCATATATTTAAAGGCAAAAACCATAAAGGTCTTAAACTGCATACTATTATCCTGTTGATGTTTGGAATACTGGTATTGTTATTTTAAAAAAATTATAGGAATATTATAGGATAAAAACAAATAAGTAGTGATGATATTAACATCATTACAAAACAACATATTTCCAAAAGAAAAGACACATAGCATAGAACCAAAGTAGTAAAAACCTTGAAAATTTAAATTAAAATTGTAAATATCAGACGAAGCCATCTGATTTTCTTTTCTCTTTGAAAGATGTGTATTTTCTAGCTATGTCTATAGATAAGACCTAAAACAAATAACAACCTGTATCAGTGAGCACCCCAGCACCCAGACTGTGGTCTCTAAATATCATATCCACTTTAAAAAAAAAAAAAAAAACACTTCTCAGAGAAATGGCAGATTGCAAGTTTGGGTCAGGAAATGTGTACAAGGTACCAGGGAATCTTACTACATCAGAAAGCAAGGACTAGAACTATCAAAGACACATGACATCACATCAAAAGAACACAGGAATCAATCTGAAAGAACTCACTGCACTAGAGTGGGGCAATTTGATCATCAAATGATAACAGCAATGGATTCAAAGTCATCAAATATATATGCATATTTTTAAATGCCTGAGTTAATAATAACATTTAAAATAAAAGAAAACAAATCAACTTCCTAAATGGCAGAGTACCTCAGTGAACCCATTCTCCCAGAAAAGCTTCCAAAATACTGGCTAAGTGACGAAAATCACCCATTTTAATGTTCTGAAATTAACTGAAGGCACAAACAACCTGAAAAGCATCTATTCACGACAAGCTAGTGAACCTCTGTTAGAACAGTGGGGTTGTGGCATTTTAAGTTGGAGCTATTCCCATCCTTCCTCCCTTCCCAGTTCAAAACAGAAATTTTAGAATTGAAAATACAATAACCAAAAAAACTCCTCCATGGATAAGCTCTACAGCAGAACGGGGAGGACAGAGAAAAGAACTACTAAAATTGAAGACAGAGCAATAGAAAACACCCAATCTAAACAACAGAGAGAAAATACTGAAAAAAAATGAAATGAGAGCCTCATGGAGCTGTGAAACAATAACAAAAGATCTAACGTTAGGTCACTGGAGTCCCAGGAGAAAAGAAAGAGAACAAGACTCAAAAAGTACTTTTTGCAAAAGACATAAGTCTATAGATTCAACAAGCTAAGAAAATCCCAAACAAGATAAACCCAAGGAAATCCGTGCAAAGACACACCAGAGTCAAACTTCTGAAAACTAAAGGCAAAGAAAAACTCTTGAAAGTAGTGAGAGAAACAATACCTCTCTTGAGGGGGTTGGGGGAGGAGGGGATTCCAATGATAGCAGTTTTCTCATCAGACACCATGGAGGTCAGAAGGCACAATACTTTTCAAGAGATGAAAGAAAAGAACTTTCAACCCAGAATTCTATATCTAGCAAAAATATCCTTCAATAATGAATGGGGAAATCAAGACACAAATGAAGGGAAACTTAGAAATTTTATCACCAGTAGGCCTACCCTGAAAAAATGGCTAAAGGAAATTCTATAAATAGAAATGAAATGACAGAAAAAGGAATCTTGGAAAATCAGGAAGGAATAAACGACAATGGAAAGAGTAAAAATATTGAAAAATATAATATACAGTTTCCTTCTCCTCTTGAGTTTTCTAAATTATGTTTGACAGTTGAAGCAAAAATGTTAACAATGCCCAATGTGGTTCCCAAAGTATACAGAGGAAACATTTAAGACAACTGTATTATAAATAAGACAAGGTAAAGAGATATAAAAGTAAGCAGTTTCTACACTTCACTCAAACTAATAAAATGATGACACCAGCAGACTGAAAAGTTATACATATATAATGTAATACCCTACAGCAACCACTGAAAAGCTATAAAAACAAATACACTCAAAAACGCTACAGACAAATCAAAATGGAATTCTAAAAAAATGTTCAAGTAACCCACAGGAAGGCAGGGGAAAAAAAAGAAACAAAAGTAGGGAAAATGAACAAAAATGGCAGACCTGAGCCTTAATATATCAATAATTACATTAAGTGTAAATGGTCTAAACACACCAATTATAAGGCTAAAACTTTTTTAAATGACTATATGCTGTAACAAGCAGCTTACTTCAAATATAATGCAAAGGCTGGATGGAGCAAGAAGGGACTGCTAAAGTCCTTTGGGGAGCAATGAAAATGTTCTGGAATTAGATCATAGTGATGGTCACATAACTTTGTGAATATAGTAAAACTACTGAATTGTGTACTCTAAAGGGTGAATTTTATGGTATGTGAATTATATCTCAAAAAAATAAAAATACCTCAATAAAGTTTTTTTTAAATTTCAGTATTGAAAAATATAATTATTGGGCCGACCCCATGGCTCAGTGGTTAAGTGCGCACGCTCTGCTACTGGCGGCCCGGGTTCAGATCCCGGGCGCACACCCACGCACTGCTTCTCTGGCCATGCTGAGGTCGCGTCCACATACAGCAACTAGAAGGATGTGCAACTATGACATACAACTATCCACTGGGGCTTTGGGGAAAAAAAAGGAGGAGGATTGGCAATAGATGTTAGCTCAGGGCTGATCTTGCTCACACAAAAAAGAAAAAATCATTATTAATTAAAAAGCAAACAATATAATTAATAAATGAGCCAAAGACATGGAAGACATTGTATTAAAGAGGATATAGGGATGGCAAGTAAGCACGTATTCAACATCACTAGCCATTAGGGATATGCAAACTAAGACCAGGACAAGCTGTCATCACACACCTATCAGAATGAGTTAAATAAAAATAGTGACGGGGCCGACCCCATGGCTTAGCAGTTAAGTGCACGTGCTCCGCTGCTGGCGGCCCGGGTTCAGATCCCGGGCGCGCACTGACGCATCGCTCTTCCGGCCATGCTGAGGCCGCGTCCCACATACAGCAACTAGAAGGATGTGCAACTATGACGTACAACTATCTACTGGGGCTTTGAGGGGGAAAAAAAAAGGAGGAGGATTGGCAATAGATGTTAGCTCAGAGCCAGTCTTCCTCAGCAAAAAAAAAAAATAGTGACAATACCAAATGACGGTGAGGACATGAACGAAGTAGATTTCTTGTACATTACCAACGAGAAGGTAAAATGGTACAGTCACTCTGGAAAGTAGTTTGGCAGTTTCTTTAATAAACATATGATCCAGCAATTATGCTCCTGAGCATTCATCCCAGAAAACTGAAATCTTACGTCTACAATTGTTCACAGCAGCTTTATTCGTAATAGGCAAAAACTGGAAGCAACCAAAATGTACTACAATATATGAATGGTTAACCAAACTGTAGTGCATCCATGCAATACGACTCAGCAATAAAAGGGAACAAACTATTGATATACGCAAAAATTTGGATGGATCTCAGGGGCATTATTTTGAATGAAAAAAGCCCATCTCGAAAAGTCACATAACTGTGTGATTCTATTTATGTAACATTCTTGAAATAACAAAATTATAAAGATGAACAGCTGCCTGGGGTTAGGGAAGGTTGGGGGAAATAGGGGTAGGTGTAACTATGAAGGAGTAATACAAAGGAGCTCTTTGTGGTGATGGAATAGTTCTGTATATTGACTGAGGTGGTGGTTACAGGAATCTGCACATGTGATAAAATGACACAGAACTACACACACTTTATACATATGTCAATTTCCTGGCTTTTATATTCTACTATTCTTATATGAGATGTAACTAATGGCAGAGACTTGGTGAAGGGTACACGGAACCTGTCAGTACTATCTTTGCAATTTCCTAAGAATCTATAATTATTCCAAAATAATTCAAAAGTAACTATCAAAATTAAAATGTTATCTTTTTTTAAAAAGAAGTCTGTCCATAAAAGTTATTTCCTTTTTCAGCAAACATTATGAGTACCCGCTAGTGCCAGGTTCTCTGCCGGGTGCAGAGAAAGACAATGTCTTCAAAGAAAGTCAGACCATATAATACAGGTAAGTAATAATTTCTGCACTCCGAAGAATGAATTCTGATCAGCAAAACCCACACCTACCTGCATCAAGGTGCTGCTCCCCGTTCATTTCCACAGCACATGGATTATCTCCTCCCCACACAAAGGACAAGCCTTATGGTTCTGCTATGATATGAAGGTTACTTGCAGGTCTCAAGCATCTATTTAATGGGCATCCAAGGGTCCAAATGAAAGTGCTGAAAAATCAAAAAGGACACATAAACAACCTGAAGCCCAAGTGTGTTTACTCATTCATAAGACATGGCACTCCAGTGAGTTGAGAGGGCAGATAAAACAAAAACATACTGGCAGAATAGATGGGATTAGAGAAAAAAAACTGACACCTTTTCTAATTTTGAAGAGTGTATGTGTGTGTATAGAAAGCGTGCTATCAAGATCTTGATAAGATGGCTAAAAATCACAAAAAATTAACATGTATATGAATCGTTCTTCTTTAAACTTAGATTATAATACTTAGCACCATGATTCCTAGCCACAAAAACTCCAATTCCTAATGAATCCCTGGGGGAAAAAGTTAGCTTTCAAGGCACTGTCTTACCCAATGATTAAGATTCGGGATAGAGTATATTACTTTACCTAGTTTTCCATTCTATTTATCTAGAATATTATGCAGAACCAAAAAGTATCAACTATATTAGTCTACAATTACACTTATAAAGAGAACCCCTCCAAAATAAGCTCTGAATCCATTTATTCTTTTCTTAAAACAGCTTCATTGGAACATAATTCACATACCAAAATCTCCCATTTTAAGTGTACAATCCAATAATTTTTAGTAAACTTACAGAGTGGTGTAACCATTACTATAATCCAATTTTAGAGTATTTCCATCAACCCAAAAGGAAACTTTTCCCATTTGCAGTTCCTTTCCATTTCATCCCTAGTCTTAGGCAACCACTAAGCTGCTTTCTGTCTCTAGAGATTTTGCCTTTTCTGGACATTTCAAATAAATGGAATCATACAATATGTGGTCTTTCATATCAGGTTTCTTTTACTTAGCATGTTTTTTGAGGTTCGCCCATGTTGCAGCATGGATGAATCTATTTATTCTTGCTCTACATACATGTAAAACAATCCAAGATATTGCCTTTATATGTGCCTATTAGGTTAGAAAGAGTAAATGAAAGGGGAACAGGAGCTGCTACAAGAAGGCCTGCCCTGAACTAACCGCAAGGGCAATGATACAGAGAACCAGGAAAGTGGGCTGGGCACACAACAGCCACAGCTGTAGGAGTGACAGTCCACAGGACCAAGTAACTCTACACCTCTCAAAAAGATTCTGAGTGTGTATTAGAGCCCTCAGCAATCCATTCTCATTAAAAACTTTAAACACTAAGAAAAAGTTAGTTCAAATTATAATATACCCCTTGAAAAGGTATAAGCTATGTAAGGTACAACAACTTCAGATAGGTAATAGGGACACCCAAGTTCTAGTCCAGCTCTACTGATAACTATGTAATCTTATACAGACTATATAAGGTCAATTTTTTTAAGCTGTAAAATGAGTATAAGATCTTTTTCAGATTTTAAAATTACATTTCATAATAAGCATAGACAAAGTCTTAATAACTTAAAATTATGGCTATCTCATCTGAGATAACTCCCAGTTATCCCAAATCATGTCGTACAACATAAGCACTGAAACCCACACTTTCACAGATAAGAACAACTGAACAGAAACTTGGTAGTGAGATTTAAAGCCTCTAAACATGCTCTCTTCTCTCAGTTTACTTTCCTACCCCAAGCCCAAAACATTCAAACTGTACCATTCCACCTCCTAATTCATTCACTCCCCATATTTATCAAACACTAGCTCATTACCATCCAATTTTCTAAGGGACGAGGGTAAAGCAATCAAGAGGGATAGGGTTCCTACTTTCATGAAGCTTATTTTCAATAGGGGGGAGACAAATTAAGTCAACTTAAAATAATTATTTAAAGTGCTATGAAGGAAAAGTAGGGTGCTAAGATAGAACATAATGGAAGACCTAACCTAAACTGAGAGGTCACTGACAGCGTCCCTAACAAAAACGGTATTTAAGCTGAGACTAAAGGGGAAATAGCAGTTAGGCCCAAAGGGGATAAAAGAGAGAGTAGTCCAGGCCTAGGGAACAGCACATACAAAGGCTCTAAGGTGGGAAGGAATTGAAAGAAGGCCCTTGTGGCTGGAGCATGGGAACCACAGGGTAAGGGGCACACAAGAAAACTGGACAGGGAGAGAAGGAATAACGGCAGTAACCATTTACTGAGAATATGCTGTGTGCTGGGCTCTGTCCTAAGCATATAAACATATGAACCTATTTATTACTGCCAACAACTCCACAAGGTGAGCGTCATCATCATGAGGAGACAGGCACAGAACAGGTGCTTGATCTGCCCAGGGTTCCACAGCTAGGAAGTAGCAGAACCAGGTTTCAAACTAAGCAAAGTGTCTAGATTCCATGTCCTCAAACACTCTATTGTACTGCCTCTCAATGGGAAGCAGCCAAGGGTTTTTTAAGCAGGGAAAGGAAATGATCAAATCTGTGTTTTAAAAAACATCACTCTGGACCCAAACAGATAAACCATAAAGGAATGACAGCAAAGACAACATAAAAGTATAAAACTTCTACATGGCAAAGGACACCATAAATAAAATTCAAACACAAATGAGACAGGTGAAAATATTAGCAACATATAAGATAATGGGTTAATTTCCATATATGTACGAGCTCCTGTAATCCAACAAGGAAAAAAATAAAAGAAAAATGAGCAAAATATATAATTACTCCACATTAAAAAAATCAGAGTTGATACTTATAAAAATGTGCTCAATCTCATTAGTAGTGAGGAAAATAAGAATTTTTAACTATATACTATATTTTTTACTTTTCAGATTGGTAAAACTTTTTAAACTAAAAATATCCAGTGTTGGCAAGGAAAGTGGAATAATGGGAGAACTTGACAGTATAGATTGGTACCACCTTTTTGGAGAGGAATTTAATGGTAAATAATTTAATCTATAAAGATTTAAAAGACACAAACTCTACTAAAAGACACAAATTCTACTATTATGAATCTTTCATACAAAACACATGTTTGGAAGGCCTCATAACCAATGATGTTTGCTGCAGTATTATCTGTAACAGTGAGATACCAGAGACAGCCTATATGTCCACCAAATGGGAATGAAATGGCAACATACATTATGATATATCTATACTAGGAAATACCCTACAATCATTAGAAGAGTTTAGATAGATCCATAAAAGCACAGGTGAATGTGTTTTATATTGCTGACTGAAAAAAGCAAATGAAGGACAATTCATATCAAGTTTTTAAAATCCTGTGTCCTTGTTTACTTCGCTATGTGACTTTTTACAAATGATTTATTTGTGCCAATGGCATCATTTGTAAAAGGGGGTAACAGTACTGTCCCTACCTCACACAACTGCTATAGGATAAGTGAGATAATCCATGAAGAGCACTTAGCATAGAGCTGGCTATACAGTAAATGCTGAGTTACTGTTAACTCTTACGCAACATTGACAGATTCAAGTTCCTATGGCACTTACTTAGTGGATCATCTGTACATACAAAGTCTGGACACTTCATCATGGGTGTGATGTAACAAAGCCACTGCTAAATAAGTATCTGTTGGTTCACTAGGCTTTGAACGTGTCATCCACTGCTTATGTTCATAAACTCTTGGAAGACACCAGCGTATTTTGTGCAGAGTGCCACATACTACAAAATAATAATAATAATATAAATGCAGCTTCAAAGCCAAAAAGACGAAGGTTGGGAGAAATGCAAGTCTTATGTAGCTGAAAGCTAAGGCAATGACAGTTTTTCAATCTTACCATCTCACTTAGATTTTAACCAATGAACAATTAGTTCATCATCCTAATAGAATCATGAGAAATAAACTGATGAAGCCTTTTGCTGGGGAACATCTGTTACATCTCTCTCTTTACTGCTAGCCTGTTGTCTTTTCATGCAGTGAGGAAAAAACAGTAAAATATCTGGGAGCTTAGAACATGGAAATTTAATTCACTTTTCATTTACTTCCTTTTATTTCGCTTATTTCCTATTCATATTAAATCGTTTTACTGTCTTCCATTTATTTTATCGTTGATTTTGGTATTATAATTCCCCTTGTGGTGACCAGAATACATTAAGAGTTATTTATTTAAATAAGCTCTCATGAACTAATTGATCTGGCCCTTGCTCATCTTATTTAGAATATTTCAGTGAACTAAATGGGTGCCTAGATATTTACATGGGGTGCTAATAAGACATACTGAAGCCAGTATGAGCCATACTAAAATTTGAAACACTTCTAAGAGATACAAATAACAATTTAAAAAGCAAAAGCTAATTGGACAAAACAAGCTTTTCATGTCAAACAGAAAAAAAACTAAAACCAAAATGAAACCCAGGCAGAATAAAACCGAACTGAATTTGCTATTTCATTTTTAGTGATACATCAATGTAAAATAAAACCACCATGGAATAATTACCTTTTAATAGATCTTTTAAAAGGTCTAAAAGTCATCTGCACAATACACAACTACATGGTACTTCCCCCCATCTTGTTTTAGTTTACACATGCAGTCTACACTCTAAACCATACTACTTGGCTCCATGTTAATGCACTTTGTTTTCAAGGCTAAGATAAAACACTGAGTAAGTGTCTAACATGGGGAAATTACAATAATTCAAGAGAGATCGCTGTAGGATGGATCCTCAGCCAAATGACTTAACATGTCTGACATAACTTTTAAAGCACTTAGGAAGAAGGACAGGAACTCAGTGTGGCTCTAAAGATATGTATCTAGTATCTATGGTGGTTGCAAGAAAATACTTTAATTCAATAAATATTTACCAGACAGTTAAAAAGAAAATTCCTATTGAAATGTTTGAACTTGCACTCCTATTCCTCAACTCAACAGATGGAAGTCCAGTAACAATTTCAAGTATGCAGTTAAATAAGGTAAATAAAAACAACTCAGCAATTCAGATGCTCCATTTGGGACAGACATGCAAAGTGAACCCTGCCCTTGACAGTAAATGCCAGTAGTAGAGTCATTATACTTTTGTTCCCCAACAGGTGTAGATTTCTGTTGGCCTTTCACTCCCCACAACTGTTAATCATCACTCTCTGACCTTGTTCACATCCTATCTGACAGGCTAT